AACCACGGGCGTGTCCTCCAGTGTGACGCAGGCTTTATTTCCAAATTCCGTGCAATCGGGACAAAAACAAGTGGGTTTTTTTTTCAAGTCCCAAAAGTAGTGCGCCACAAAGGACTTAATGAAACTTACTGAGCAAAGCTGAAATAGGGGATCGTAAACTCTGGCTGCGAGATGAACAGAAACGGGACGGAAAATGTTGCAATTTTCAGTGATCACTTAATCACAGGTCAGGGTTTGCTACAGGTTTTTATGGCATTTCATTGAACAGCTTAGAAAAGCAGCTACAAAAACAGCAGGTAAACAGTTTGATACTGTTTTCATGTGTTCTCACCACAAATAGCTTGTAGTGTGCTAATGTTTATAGCAGTTAGCTCAGTGTTGTAATGTGGAACTGCGGAGGATGAGGATGAAGATTAAACAGTTGGAGGATTTTTTTTTTCTTCAAACCAAACGAGACACGAGTGATTAAACTTTGGAGCGGTAAGGGGTCTGTTGCCTTTTGTTGTGAATAAACAACCTAATTATCACCAAGTGTTTACAATGCACTATCGTCATGTTTGCTATGTTTGTTACCATACTGGGATTTAGTCTGAAACAATGGTGTTTGTTGTAAATGTTCCTATATACTATGGAATGTCACATCTTATTGATTATTTAATATATATGTAGTCAACCCTTAATGCTACAATATGCATACGGCATGCATGTACAAGACTTTTATTGTTTATTTAACCAGGAAGATCCCATTGAGATTAAAAACCTCATTTTCAATGAGTCCTGGCCAAGAGGCAGAAAAAGTTACAGTTACAAATTTTTCTGTTACACAGACATGTTCTGCAGAAAATTACATTAGGGAGTTACAACACAGGGAATCCATCTCAAGGGTTCTTAGCAGGGGCGTAGCACCAAATTCTGGGCCCTAGGTACAAGTCTTCTAGGTGGGCCCCCATGCTCAATTACTTAATATCTCTCTTACACATTTTTTGTCATGCTATAAGACAAGAAAATAAATATGATCTTAGTTTAACCTCTATATTGAGCAAATACAAATGCCAACATAATATATATGTGAAATGCCCAGACTTCACATATAATTATTTTTATTTGCCAACAATGTGTTCAAACAAAAATCCTGGAATTTATTTTCCAGTAAATGCCCACTGACGGGTCTTCATGTTAGCAAAATCACTTATGAGATCTTTAAAGTCCAATCCTTTGGCTAATTGGCTTTCAATAGAAAGAAGAGCTAGGCTGTTCAGTCTATCCTGGGACATTGTTGATCTCAAATAATTTTTCACCAGTTTCAGTTTGCTAAAAGCCCGTTCACCCCAAGCAACAGTCACAGGTAGTGTGCAAAATATCCTCAGTCCAATACAAACTTCTCCAAAAATGCTCTGTAATTGCATCCTGTATGGCATTAAGCAGCTCAAGAGGAGACCGAATGTGTGGAAATGTGGCACCATATATTGTTCTCAGGTGTAGCATCTCATTCTCAAATTCAGCTGTGAGATCCTTGTAATGTTTTCCCATCAGTGCCTGGCATGATATCTTCATCTGCTCTTCAGTCATGTCTGTCATGGTTCATGATGTTAAGCTTTGCTAATACTGATATATATTGATATATTAAATACATATGACATGAAAAAAACCAGGTTCTCTCTGTGAATGTAATGTACTCTAAATTTTATAATCCCTGCATTATCAGCCAAATTATAAGATTGTCCGTTTTCAAGATCAAATATAAATAAATTTAAAATAGGCTTAAAATATCTAACCAAGTCAATAACAATCCTCTAACACCAGTGTCATCATGCTATATGAAAAACAGTGGCAGCTTCACATTCCTGAGATTACCACGAATCCATCGATACCAAGTTTGTCCTGGTCCATGACTGGGAAGGAGCTGAAATTTCCACACAGACTGAACCTTTTTTTACTGCGAGGTCCGCGAATTAATTGGCGGCAGCCGCCCGCGATAATAATTCTGATTAATATATATATTAATTAGTGTTTTCACTGATAACACTAATTAATTTATATTTGATCTTGATGGTGAAACTAAAGGCGTTTAACACTGAACACCTAACATGAATGCAGCTTCTGAGAGCTAGCTAATATCAGCTAAAACTGTGTTCTGCTGCTGCTCACCTTCCTTCTTGAAAACCCTAGTCAATACTTGCTTCTGTTCAATTAACTTTTTCTCCTTCTTTTCTTTTCTTTTCTTTTCTTTTCTGGAAGCCAGATTTCCCTTTCTTGGGAAAAGACATGACTGACTCTCCTGCCTCCGGCTCTGGCTGTCGGCATCTGCGATGTCTCATAGCTGTACATGCGGCTGTGCAGCCCCTGGCCGCTGGTGTGGACTAAACCACTTTGCACATTTTTAAGGGGTGATAGATGCCTCAGAGATTATTCAGTTATTATTTTTAAGGCGAAATTCTGTTTCTTAACCTCTTTATCCAGGTAAAGGGAAGTTTATTAAGACATTACGTAAGTTGGGGGAAAAAAACAACGACAATAAAACATTTTTATTCAAAGCTGTCTCAGGGCCCCTCCCTGCAGTGGGTCCTGGGTAAACGGTACCCTTCCCCCCCCCAGTCCGACGCCCCTGGTTCTTAGTCTGGTTTTAAATGTATTCAAGGATCTAAACTCAGTTAATTTCCAGTTTTCCTGCAGCCTTTTTCATGCAGAAGGAGCAGAGTGAACTGTACATTTTCAATAAACAAACCTAGAGTTTTATAGGTTCAAATAGACACAAAGTCTTGTTTTTATTAATTTTACTGGTAGTTTATTTTGCTCAAATTAAAACTGAAGCCTGCCTCTAATTCTGGCCTCCTTCCAATAGGCCGGAACCAGGATGTGCTTGAGTAAATAAAGACCCGGGCCTGTATTAGAGGATTTACGGTATGTTAAATTGTGTAATTAAAAGAGGTAATGTCCGATTTTACATACAATATTGACAGATATAATCGGACATCCCTAAGAATATCTAACTTGTTGATTATGTAAAGACAGGAGACTTGCCCTAATAATTCTTTAATGGACTATACTTACATTACTGCAGACTTGGATTGAGTTAATTTGTAACCCAGTTCGTCCGGGGGGTGTGGCAAAAGATGAAGATGTATCTGATGGGTGTGAGGGCATGGATGTTTGACAAAGATAGGGAAGTCAAAATAATAAATGGAAAGTGTAAGAAACACCCAGTCATCTACTGTGCTGCATGTGCAGCCTTTTAACTCCCAGCTACACCCGCCATGTGTACGCCAAAAAGATCAACCACTCCTTGTTGCTGTTGAAGCTGCTCATTTCGTAGAGTGATAAAAAAAAGGTCTGAGCTTTGCTTGGCTTGATGCAAATGGCAGAATCTTAAATTCAGTTCTGAAATAACAGAATCCAGGATATCCTGTGGTTAACCACCAAGGAACAGATTTCTGATTGTCTTACCCCGAGGAAAACCTTCCACTGTAACCCTGTCAGCCCTGACAGATGGAAAATGGATGTTTGAGTAGATTTAAGGAAAACAAGAGTGACACCAGAGGCCCTTTGCAGGAGGAAATTTGTATATTTACTTTGTTGGATTCCTTCTTGTTAATGTTCATTAGTTGTTGGTTACATTAGTCAGGGGAAACCCTGCGGAACATTATGCTAAAACATTGACTTTAAACACATGGTGGCTTTAACTGGTTTGAAAACACCTCTCATCTGTATAAACGGTTAATGAAACAGGTGTGTACATGTATGCAAGTGTCACGTCTTAAACTGAAACCACCCACGTGATACGAGGTGAAACTTCAGAGGCCGTGCAGGCCCAGCCCCAACTACACAATGAAAACATCCTTGGAGATGGCTTGTGTTTACAGCTGGGTTGTCAGGGAGTCCTCCACATACATGACAATAAGGAAAGGGATTATTTTCTTTGGCTGTGGAAGAAGGCTCTAATCAGATCACTGTGACGTGAACTTGTTGTTTTTCCTCCCCGCCACCCATCTCTCTCCTTCCCTCCGCAGTTTCTGGTCACCTTTCACCTCTTCACCTCAGGACTTCATGTTCTTGCATGAAAAGAACATGAACAAAAGAACAAAACCACAAGGATAAAGGGGCTTAAATGTCTCCGTGCACGTTCCAGAAGCTTTAATGTTTAGCTACCATGACATAAGTAATTGTTTTTCTCTCACTTTGGCTCCTTAGCTCTTTCCTGTTTATATAAAAAAAGGAGAAAGTAGACCACTCAGATTAAGAGATGTAATGACACACCAGTAATTACACAACCATCCACGACACGGTCTATACTGGGATTTCCACATTCACAGCAGGACAAATGCGGGCTGGTGGAGTAAGGCAGGAGAGCTGAGGTAACCACCTCGATGGCTGATGCATCTCTCTGCATTGTTCGTTGTGCCTGGACATGACAACCCAATTGTAGAAAAGCACTGAAGAGTACAGACTCAACAAAGGATTATTATTTTCTGCACAGGTTGTGTTTCAGCCCTGCTGATGGTTCTGTGTGGAATTCAAGACAGATTTGAACACTTAGAGATAACGATGAAAATGGGATGACATCATTTTTCTTATTGTCTCTGGTGAACAGGCCAAGAAGTAAGCATAGCTTTAGTGCTACTAGCTCACACACCCTGTAGATTCAAGTTTACTAGCAAACTTTGTGAAGTCTTTCCGTTTATGTTGCCCTTTGGTGCCCCAACGTGACTTCATGGGGTATTGCAGTATGTTACACTTGCCTTGTTTTGTGTGATTTCGATTTCATTTGCCTAAAAAAAATTTTTTCTACTGTAAGATGGCAGATTTTGATGAAGAAAGTCTCATCAGTGCCAAATGTCTAGTCACATCCTGTGTACCTTGGCACACAAGTCTGGATTATGGATTGTTAAAGTTTACAGATGGCATTAAAAATGTTTCACCTATGATTTGACTGAATAATTTAGATAATCTGCTAGTTAAGCTGAGGGCTGTTTTCTCAAAACAAGTAAACAGAGGCTTCACTCTTATTCTGTCAAAAGTAATCCTTTTATTTACATAAAAATATTTAGTCCAAAGCACTGATTTAGTTTAATCTGTGGTTCCCTTTGGATGAAAACTCACATCAACTGTGGTTTTTTATCTTTTTGCTTGTCTCAGGCAGAAGAGCATCTTTTGTTTTGTCCCTCACAGTTTTTAGGAAGACCATGATGCCAGAGCCACCGGTGCCCCTCTCCTCCAGGCATGTGGGGGCTTTGACGATCATCTCCCCGTCAGAGGCCTGGCTTTGGCTACGGAGCTGTCGAGCTCGGGCAGCGGGGACAGTGATGAAACGGCTGACTACGCTGATGTGGTAGCTGCGCAAAGCCAATAGTTTTGAGACGCAGAAGTCAAAGGCCTGGTTCAGCTGCTCATCGGTCTGCTGCTGGACAAAACTCCTCAGGGACGGTTGCAAAGAAATATCCTGGATCAGCTGCCTATGACTGGGCGGCATGTAGTTCCTCATGCGTGTTAGGAAGGAACCTGAAAGACAAGTTAGCATCAGTACTTCAAATTCATCTCCAATGCATTTGTGATTAAAGGCCAAGACAACCAGGGTATGTGGATGACTCTCTGCATCTCTAAACATTGGGTGAGCCTTAACAATTTTTGTGTTTTCTCAGCTTGATAAGCCGAGGTGACTTCATGCTTTAATTATTTGTTGATGTACATAATGGTTATTTTAAGAGTTCCATCTAAAATCCACCCAAATGTCACAGAAGAGCTTGGAAACAAGAGTTAGGTGTAACGTTTTTGGATCGATGACGGGAAACCGTGGTGTCCAGCATCCGTTGTAGTGCATCGTGTGCTAGGTTACATGTTCAGTTTAAGGTTCTATATAGAGCTCACTATTCGATTCTCGCCCGTTGAGAACTTATCCACATGTGGTGGATCAGTGTGTGAGAGGTGTGAAGCACGCCGTGTGACCTGAGTCACATGTTCTATTCATGTCAAGAACTCCACGGCTTCTGGAGCCGGTTTTCAGCTGTCCTTTCTGGGGCTCTTGAGATCTGTGTTCGCATGAAGCCCTTCCTGGTCATTTTTAGGCTCCCAGTTGATACTATCTTAACAAATCCCACTTTTTCTAAAATAGTGGCCTTTGCATGGCTTTTGGCCAGGCGCTGTATCTCCGGAGCTTCCCTCCATTTTCTTTTGGTTTCTATCTGTTGTGTCATTTGTTCAGCTGGAAAAGATAGCCCTCGCAGCAACGGGTGCTTCTGAGATGTGTGGTTGCACATGGGGCCCCTTTGTAAATTATTGCAGGCTGCTGAACGCTGTGCCAATTTGATATGCCCCCCTTTTTTGAGGGTAGTGTTTTTGTTTTGTTGTTGTGGGGATAAAAACAGAAAATCGTTGTTTTGGACAAATCATTTTTCTTACTGCTTTTGTCTTCATGCTTGACTCCCAGGAGTTCATCAAAGCAATGCAGAATGCTGCTTTGTGCAGCGCTTCCTCCAGAAAACTCCATGGGCTCTGACTGAACACCTTCATAAACGAGCCCCTTTGGCATGCAAGGGTTGTCCTTCCACCTAAGCAAGCACATGTTTTATAGGTGAAACTCAAATTAGAATATGGTGCCAAAGTCCAATTATGTTAGTCATTCATCTTAGACCGAGAGACTATCTAAAGGGTCAGGGACCCTTTGCAGGTGTTTGGGATTCATCAGCTGATTATAGTGAAAGACTTTGAGTATGGAATATTGAACCTTTTCACAATATTGTAATGGTCTGAGACTTTAAATTTGAGATTTTTCATAAGCTGTAAGCCATAGTTATCATTATAACAAATAAAGGCTTAACATATCTGGCTTTGATGTAATGAGTCTATCTCATAGATTAGATTCACATTTTAAGTCGAATTACTAAAATAAATTAACTTTGACACCATATTCTAATGTTTCAGGTTTCACCTGTACGTGTGAACATACAAGAAATGTTACAGTAAACATAAACTTTTGTTTATTTACCCTGACAGATAGATCCTCATGATGCCATAGAAGACAGAAGGTTCCACATACTCTAAAAGACAAAACATATCAAATAAACTGGGTTTTAACAGAGTGAATTGTTGTATTTTTCATTCTAAACCCATGCCATTACCTTGCATTAATTTAAGTGCATCGGTCATTTCCTGTATGGACTGGCTGATGTCCTCTAACGCTCTGACCACAGCCTCGGTGTCACCACTCCTGACTCCGTTGATGACATGGGGAATGCTCTGCACAACAGTCATGCAACAGCTTTTTCTGAAGCTTTTGCACTTATATTTGGTTTTAGGTGATGGTGCAACTTAGTGTTTTTCACGTAATACATGATGCGTGATGTGACCTATCTCACTCGTATTGCTGGAACTGCTGCAAGCTCGACCAGCAGAGTGACCAAGAAGAAGCCCCGCCCACTTTCTCCACCTGGGAGGCGGATCAGCAACTCCAGATTTCTGTGTGATGCAAATGAACCGAAACAGTTTATGTGGATCAAATATGACCGCCAGCATTACCAGAGGATTAAACTAAGAATTTTGACATACTCACTCCATATCAAGAGGCCTGGCACATGAAGTATAATGGACATGAAAAAGAAAACAGTGAATTGTTTTCTAAACCTTTTATTTTCTGAATAACAACAATAGTTAAAAGCATCTATAGGACATAAATGGTTTTACCCCTCTGGATCTTTCTTCCTCCAGTTAGCCAGCGCTGCATCTGCATGAGTGAGGATTGGGGGAAGTCCTAAGCGCTGTGACACCTCCCACAAAGGGACTGCTAGGTTGCTGGGCAGAATCTTTGAAAAGTGTTTTTTTTTTATTAAAAAATAATATGTTGTTGAACCAGGAAGAGACAAAGTTTGAAGAACAACCTCAACAGTGTTATTTTCTCCCTCCTGCCAGATGTAGCCCATGGTCACCATGCTGAGGGCCAGGTGGGCGAGTCGCAGCTCTTTGTGTTTCTGCAGAAACGTTGTGCTCAGCAGCGGCATCTGGACAGGGCCAACAACTCTGAGCAACATCACGGTAAAGACAGCAAAGACAGTCTGTTTGTGTTATTATTTACCTTGTCAACATGGGAGCGCAAGTCATGACTGCGTACAAACTCAGGGATGCGCAGAGCGATCTCCATCCACGGCTGGTAGTAGGACGGGAGCTCTTCCTGCAGATGTTTCAGTACGTGTCCCAATTAATAAACGTATCCAACAAATTAACATTTACAAATAAGTAACATTGCACAGAATAATTTATCCCTTTTAAATGATAAAGCAGTTGTTTTTTCTGTTCTTACTTCCACCACAGTGGCATTAGACCTAATAATTTAACATCCTGCTTGTTAAAATAAAGGTTCATTCCCAACAAAAGCCACAAGCAACATCATAGTCCAGCGTTTTCACAAGTATGAAAGTCATTCGAGTGTGTCCATGAAAGAAACCTGTGTTATCTAATTTGAAAGTCTTATTTTGAATTACACCCCGGCAATGCTGCCTGGAAGCTTTTCACAGACTGTTTAGATAATGATTAAAATACTTATCAGAAGAGCTTTGTCACATACCAGAGGGTCAGGAAGGATGAAGCCAAATTCTTCAGAAACGTGGTAGGAGTCCAGATCAAAAGGAGTTCTGGGGTCCTTCTCCGTAGAAGCCATGAGGAAACTAAGACGGGAACAGTCTTCTGACTGACTGAATGGTACAGGACACCCCGGCCGGACTGGACTGGACTCTGATATGAGCTGTTGTCATCCTATGGTTCCTGCTTACACAACATTTATCCCTGACTTTTACTATTGCACAACTCCTGGGAAAGTACAGAACAAATCAATAACTGGCTTCACTTTGTGAATAATTTCTGAAACATTTATAAGAACATCATTGCTCTGGTTCACTTTAACTGCAAAATATCAGTTAGAATAATAATGAGAAGAAAACAGAACATTTTCATTGTTTTTGTTTATCTAAAATCTTCTAAATGTAACTTCTTCTAACATTATTAGCAACATTCTGGACATAAATGCTTGACATATTCTTTTTAATATTGACTAATATGTGAAACTGAAGAGAAATGAACATAAAACACATTTTTACGCAGTATTTTATTACATCTAAAAACAGTTTTGCTGTGTTTTTATGTAATGATTTGACATTTTAAACATTGTGCTCTGCTCAGGTCAAGAAAATGTGCTTTAAAAATAAGATTTGGCTTGACTCGCTTCTACCATGTCAGTTTGTAAGGTAAGATTTTCATGAAATTATATTTTATTGTTCTTTTCTATTATATTTAAAGCGTAATTACAACATATGAAAACCTTTAATCAACCCAGGTAAAAGGGCAGCTGATCAAAAGTGGCCTGGTGAAGAAAAACATGGATAAATGATTAAAGATAAAACAAACATGGATTCCAAGGATAGAGGGAGGGGACAGGGAAGAATTTAGCACTGGTTCAATTTTTATACACACACACACACACACACACACACACACACACACACACACACACACACACACACACACACACACACACACACACACACACACACACACATACCTTGGGCAATAAACTTAACCCATCTGGTCTGCTGGTGGTGGTCGGAGCGACCATTGGTGCAAGCGTATGGCAAGTTTCACCTCTGTTAATGCGCCCCAGGTCAACTCTGGCTACATCGTAGCTCATCCCCACCAGCGTGTGAATGGGTGGATGGCTGATTGTGTTGTAAAGCACCTTGGGGGGTTGTAGAACCATAAAAAGGTGCTATACAAACACAGGCCATTTATGTTTATTTATGTTTATGTTTATTTATTTGGCAGATGCTTTTTATCCAAAGCGAGGTACAATTTTTTTTAACTTGTAGGGCATGTTGTGATCTGTGGGGGAAACCGGAGTACCTGGAGGAAACCCACGCATGCATGGGGAGAACAAGCAACTCCACGCAGAAAGGCCACAGCCGAGTTTCGAACCTGCAACCTTCTTGCTGCGAGGCAACAGTGCTAACAACTGTGCCACCATGCAGCCCATTTATACCTAAATCATATCATATCATACATTTGATATGATACATAAATCAAATCATAATATTACCTAAATTTATCATTTAGGTAATATTATATTTGATATTTTTAAGATATTCAACATTTCTGCTGTTTGCAGCTCATGATCTTCCTCTTTAGCTGACTGAGTCCACTTGCTGACTAAAGGCAGAACTCTAAAAACTAGAATATTTCCATTTGTTATAATTGTGATGATTCTGGCTTACAGCTGATGAAAACCCCACATTCACAATGTCAGACAACTAGAATATTACATGAAATCAGTGAAACAAAGATTTTAAATAGAGAAATGTTGAACATCTGAATAATTATAATCATGTGTACTCAGTACTCGGTTTGGCCCCGTTAGCTTTTACTGAAATAAATGAATTTTTGCACCACGCTCTAATTTTGGGAGTTTCTCCTGTAACTAATTTCTGTGGAAATAATAAATACAGCATCAAATAGACGTGGTGGAGAAAGTAACCAGAGCTTCACTTTAAAGGCAACGATTTATGATGTCACACCCGCAGTTTCACATTTCTATTAAGCTGTTGGCCAGAAAGATGAAATCATTATGTCACTTTAAATTTGACATTGACAGATTCTTTTTAATATTGACTAATATGTGAAACTGAAGAGAAACGAACATAAAACATTTTTACGCAGTATTTTATTACATCTAAAAACAGTTTTGCTGTGTTTTTATGTACTGATTTGACATTTTAAACAGTGTACTCTGCTCAGGTCAAGAAAATGTGCTTTAAAAATAAGATTTGGCTTGACTCGCTTCTACTATGTCAGTTTCTAAGGTAAGATTTTCATGAAATTATATTTTATTGTTCTTTTTTATTATGTTTAAAGCATAATTACAACATATGAAAACCTTTCATCAACCCAGGTAAAAGGGCAGCCGATCAAAAGTGGCCTGGTGAAGAAAAACATGGATAAATGATTAAAGATAAAACAAACATGGATTCCAAGGATAGAGGGAGGGGACAGGGAAGAATTTAGCACTGGCTCAATTTTCACACACACACACACACACACACACACACACAGAGCGAACCTGTATTATGTCATGTAAGGTTGAACACTACCATCTAGTGGAATATATTGATTACTGCATTATTAATTGCAGAATTAATATTTTTACTAAAGTTAAACAACAATGAATGAATTCTTCATGGTTTTGCAAACTGACGTATAGGTAATTTGAGAATTGTTCAAATGCATTAATATAAATACATTCATGTTATAAAACTGACCATTGTTCATGCAGGCCAAACTGAGACATTAGTTTCACAGCAACCACAAATCAACTTTCAGAGTCATGTATTATAAACCTGTAAGAATAAAGGCCAAATACAACTTGATCCTTTTTGTGCTGAAACTGAGTTAAGTTGTACAAATACCAACTTTCAATGTTGGACTGCATCATTTGAACCCAGACTTGGGAAAAGAAAAGAAATAAATACATCTCAAGATTATGCTTTATTGTGAAACTTTTGACTCTTTTCAAACTGCTGGACATGAAACTGTAGACGGGTGCCTTGATCTGGAGTGGAAACAGATTTGTTACCTACCGGGGGAGACATTTATCCTTCAATAACCTCCTGTCAATATCTCTCACGAGCTGTGAGTGGTAAGTTTATTATTGTCATGTTCCTGGGAATGTGTTTAACCCACGACATGAAGAATCATCACAAGACGGGGGGAAAAGTTCAAAACAATGATTTATTTAAGGAATCTAACAAAAGGTGTCCCTGGAATAAACCCAGAGTAGTTGGAGCCTGAGAGAGTCCAAGTTCTGCAGGTGGAGGAGGTCGAGGAGGGCAGGTGGAGTGACGGGGTGAGTCCAGGAGAGGGAGCCAGGCAGGGTGGCAGAGGAATAAGAGGAGAGGCGAACCGTGAAGTCCAGGAAGGTATGGTTCTTTCCAGGTGAGTAATCCAGTAAGGTTCTGCTTCTTGGATGGAGGATAATATCCAACAAACCCAGAGCGTCAGGGAAGATTGTCCAGTGATCCTGGAGAGAGGATACAAAACTTGAGTCCAAAAAATCCAACACAAGAGTCCAAGAATAATCCAAGAGATTTTCCAAGTCAATCATCAACTTAGTAACCAAGCAATCTAGAACGGGTGGCCAAAATACTACAATGAGTAGTTAATCATCCAGCGCTGTGTAGTGGTTCCCTCTCCTCTTAAATAGAGCTCTGCTGCAGATGACCTGAGAAGCTGCAGCTGCCGCTGATTGCTAATACCCTGCAGCTGGTGAGCTCCCTCTCCTGAAATGAAGAGCTCAAAGATGTTATAGAGATGAAGCGTACTCACCCCACCACACAACAATTATATATAAAGTTATATTTTTCCAAATTATTAAAGAATAACCAAATTATTTACCTTTATGCAAAATTGTGGTTACGTGGTAATGCTATGAGAATCAAAGTCTGACATATAAAATGTCTAAACTAATATGTGATTATGTTTTAATGCATGAATTAAAACACTTTATTTAATGGTGGTGAGAACAAATTATTTATCAGTGATTTATTGTGATGTCAAAAACCAGGACTCCGACCCTAACCCAAGCAGCAACTGCAACAAAATAACCTAATATATACTAATTTATAAGACTGTGAGACTCTCTATTGAATAAAACACTTCAAACAACAAAGTAAATAACACCATCTTGATTTGTTAGTCATTGAACAGCATATGGTTCTCTCTCAGAGCACCATCACTGCTGAGGTGGGCCACAGTAAGACAGTCATTTGGAAATTACTAAGTGATCTTGAGGGTTCCATCCATCCATCAATCCATTTTCAGTCGAGGGTTATGAAACAAAAAAGTCAAGTGGAAGACCCAATACAATTTAACCAGCACTGAGCCATCGGATCAATTTGGGTGTTTGTCAAGAGAGGGAGCTCACCAGCTGCAGGGTATTAGCAATCAGCGGCAGCTGCAGCTTCTCAGGTCATCTGCAGCAGAGCTCTATTGAAAGGCTGTCCTTGATGCAACTTGTGGCCTTTACTGGTGTTCACTGCTGCCCCATTACAGGTGCTGGCCAGTAAATTAGAATATCATCAAAAGGTTGAAAATATTTCAGTAATTCCATTCAAAACGTGAAACTTGTACATTATATTCATGCAATGCACACAGACCAATGTATTTCCAATGTTCATTACATTTAAATTTGATATTCATAAGTGACAACTAATGAAAACTCCAAATTTGGTATCTCAAAAAATTAGAATATTCTGAAAAGGCTGAATATAGAAGACACCTGCTGCCACTCTAATCAGCTGATTTACTCAAAACACCTGCAAAGGCCTTTAAAAGGTCCCTCAGTCTTGTTTTGAAGGCACCACAATCATGGGGAAGACTTCTGACTTAACAGCTGTCCAAAAGACAATCATTGACACCTTGCACAAGGAGGGCAAGACACAAAAGGTGATTGCTAAAGAAGCTGGCTGTTCGCAGAGCTCTGTGTCCAAGCACATTAACAGACAGGCGAAGGGACGGAAAAAATGTGGTAGAAAAAAGTGTACAAGCTCTAGGGATAACCGCACCCTGCAGAGAATTGTGACGACAAACCCATTCAAAAATGTGGGGGAGATCCACAAAGAGTGGACTGCAGCTGGAGTCAGCGCTTCAAGAACCACCACGAGGAGACTCATGAAAGACATGGGATTCAGGTGTCGCATTCCGTGTGTCAAGCCACTCTTGAACAAGAAACAGCGCAAGAAGCGTCTCGCCTGGGCCAAGGACAAAAAGGACTGGACTGATGCTGAGTGGTCCAAAGTTATGTTTTCTGATGAAAGCAAGTTCTGCATTTCCTTTGGAAATCAAGGACCCAGAGTCTGGAGGAAGAGCGGAGAAGCACAGAATCCACGTTGCATGAGGTCCAGTGTAAAGTTTCCACCGTCAGTGATGGTGTGGGGTGCCATGTCATCTGCCGGTGTTGGCCCACTCTGTTTCCTGAGGTCCAGGGTCAATGCAGCCGTCTACCAGGAAGTTTTAGAGCACTTCATGCTTCCTGCTGCTGACCAACTTTATGGGGATGCAGACTTCACCTTTCAACAGGACTTGGCACCTGCACACAGTGCCAAAACCACCAGCACCTGGTTCAAGGACCATGGTATCCCTGTCCTTGATTGGCCAGCAAACTCGCCTGACCTTAACCCCATAGAAAATCTATGGGGTATTGTGAAGCGGAGGATGCAATACGCTAGACCCAACAATGCAGAGGAGCTGAAGACGACTATCAGAGCAACCTGGGCTCTCATAACACCTGAGCAGTGCCACAGACTGATCGAGTCCATGCCACGCCGCATTACTGCAGTTATTGAGGCAAAAGGAGCCCCGACTAAGTATTGAGTGCTATACATGCACATTCTTTTCATGTTCATTCTTTTCAGTTGGCCAACATTAGAGAAACAAACATTTTTTCATTGGCCTTTAGAATATTCTAGTTTTCTGAGATACCAGATTTGATGTTTTCATTGGTTGTCACCTATAAATATCAAAATTAAACGTAATAAACATCGGAAATACATTGGTCTGTGTGCATTGCATGAATATAATGTACAAGTTTCACGTTTTGAATGGAATTACTGAAATATTTTCAACCTTTTGATGATATTCTAATTTACTGGCCAGCACCTGTAGACAGTACCTTACACTGAAGGGCTTCAAAAACAAAAAATATCTTCAAATGCCTTGTTTTCTTGAACGCCACTTAACTGACCGTTTGGACTTTGCAAGAAAGTGCCAATAATGGAACATGAGAGGGATGAAAGGTGGAAGAAAGTTTTATTCTATGATGAGAAGAAATTAACGTTTGACTGTGTCCAACAGTAAGTTGATATTGTGTGCAAAGAAAAGTGTAAAAACGGAAAGAGATGACATATGTGGACACAGAAATAAATGGGCAGCCATGTTGGAGCATGCACTGTTTGAGCAGGTCTGGCACATTTGGGTCGCAGCGCTGCTTCAACAGTGTGATACCCTAATGATGGATGAGTAAAATACTGTGTGATCAAGAGCTGGTAATGAGGTAGTAAGCACTTTTCATTACTTTCTGTATACTACATGATGCAAAACTGGCCCTGATCTCAGATTCTCCCAAGAGAGGAGCATTGGCCATAAATTGGCCCAGAATGGCACAGTGTATGCCTGGCTTACCACTCCAGATGTGAAAAAACCTAATCCATCTGTTTTCAGTCAGTGTTTTGTTTCAGGAATAATGTGGCTTAAACAAGCTGTTTCAATAAGTTCCTGTTTGTGACATCACAAACAGGGAAATTAGTATAGAACACCCCTCAGCAACTGCTGTACTCTGAGCCCCTACCATATATTGGAGTTTCTCAGCGCAAATAACTTCATAAAGATGTTTTGTTTAGGGAACTATTTTAAGAAAGAAAAGTTATGTCTGCTTTAAAAGAAAGAGACATTAAGCTCTGTGGCGCCCCCAAGGGGTGGCCTTGGCTACCCCTAGAAAATTGCTCAAACCATAAATTCATCTTTTTTTCAAAACGTTTATGTAAAACCCAATAAAAAAATACAATTAATGAGTGAAAAAAAATCAGATTTTTAAAAATAAAATGTTTATGCTGCTCAGCATTTCTGAAAAAAAAAACACCTTTTATATCTCCATAGCTTTTTGTGAAGACAGCAACAGCTGAATTAAACTACAAATTAAAATTCTTAAATCAAATTTGAAATACAATTTTAGACATTTCAAATTCGTTTTCCAGAAATGTCTGAGTTAAATGTTTTGGATACATATTGTTTTAGAATAAAGGAGAAATGAGGCTAAAGTTACCACAAGGAACAATTTGGTGTACCACCCCAAAAATTTCTCTGGCCACCCTTATCAAAAATTTCTGGGGGTGTCCCTGATTTTGTGCTGTGAAACAATTCTTGCACTTAAGCTGCACACAAACTCAGGTTTGCATTGAAATCTGACTCCTGTCCTCGTGCAAACAGCATGTTTGTTCAAAGACTTTATGTCCAAACTTGCACAAATGGCTCTCTCTGTCCCAATGAGCCCCAAATACCAATAAATAAATTGTTATTTATTTAAAAATGAAAAAAAAGGGGGGGGGGGGGTAAATTGCGCATTAGTGCATACATTTATTGTATTTTCTGCATCATTTTTATTGTGCATGAATAAAGGTTTATTTTGTATGGCCATGTTACCTGTGCACGTCGAAGAGCTGCCTATAGGCTGCAGGAAGAGCTTTGTCTGACTTTAAAGTGGATCAGTGTTTTGTAATGAATGCCGTCGTCCCCTGAGTGCGCCTGCCTATTATTAGCCACGGAGCGAGGCCCTACTGTAAGAGGAGGGTGGCTGCATGACGGTCAGGGCTGCAGCTCTGCAACGCACCGGACACATTTTTGCAAACTACCAGCCTCTTCTTGCTTTCCTGTAGCGGCGCAGTGGCAATCTTTGCGCGGATCCACAGCGGTTTTCCTCCTCCTCATCATCACATCAGAGCTTTTTGGATCACATTGCCTTAAGATGACGCTAAAAACGAGATGCCGTCAGGTGCGAGCCGCATCCGATGGTGCCCAGCTCTTTCTCATCGATAATGCAGCACTTCCTCTTGTCGCGGTAAGGACGGCTCGGTCTGCATGCATGACTACGGTTTTTATGCTATAATCCTTTAACGCTGGCTCCGACATGGAGTCACTCGGAGCCCGATAACCAGGCTCAGGAGTCAGTGACGGGGTGTTACATAACCTGTAATGCAGCAAAGCCTCATGACTTGTGTCTCAGTGTTGGAGGGACAGTTCGGTCCTTCTGGTAGGAAATTCACTGTTTTATCGCTTAATTTGTGACAGATGAGGAGAAGGGGATGCAAACCAATTCATTTACTGTGATTATTGTCTCTCTCTAGATGTTTTTAGGATTTAAATATTTTAAAAGGGGTGGATATATTCGAGGGTTGCGCAGTGATCTCAGGGCTGACAGGAAGGGCATTTTTAGAAATGTTTCATTTTTAAAACAACTCAACTCTGTGGTCAGTGTTATTTATGGAGCGTGATGTGGGTGAAGGATGCAGCTTGTAGTCAATGAGGAGCCTGTTTTTGTGAATGACAAGTAAGTGGCTTTACAAATAGTGCAATTAAAGTATTAGGTATATGCAATATTACAAATACGAGTTTACAGAGGCAAGGATTTGTGCAGTGGACCAAAAGTCATGCTTTAGAGGTTGGTTCAGCATTTTAAGGTATTGCTGGAAGATGAGGGCTCCCAGATTTCATTCACAAGAACATATCAGAATGAAAACATTCATTATGAATGCACTTCAATGTGTATTTGCAAAGATTTTAGTGTGCATAGCTTTATAGTGTTCTTTGGTTAATTTTTTAGGCTGTTGATGTTTTTAACTGGTTTTAAACTTCTTATATGAGCTGATGTGACAGCATTGAATTTAAATAAGGCCTATTTACAACACTAGTGGTGTTTTTTGACGATTGCTAAAAACATTTCTTTAAAACATGACACCAGTACAAGAAATGATTTAAAAGGGTTTCGTATTCCAGGTTAATCCAAGGATGCATGTCTGATTATTTGTTTTCCTCTGGACTGAAGCTGTGCATTATGGTAACATGAGAATGCTTATTCAGTCTGCAGATGAATGATGAAATAACAAACAGCACAGGCACTGTCTGCATTTTCGGAGTCATAGAAGACACATAGGAACCAGAGTCTAAATATATTATTTTTAACAAAAGCTGATTGCAATTATAACACAAGTCTGCATTGAAAAACTGTGTTTGCTGTTTTTGCTTGCTGGTTACTTTAAGGAGCAGGGTTAGGGGAATAGTGAATGAGTGCAGAGGAGTCACGAGACCACCCATTGATATATCTGCAGGCAGACTGAGCAGTGCAGATTGGAGCTACAGCCAGAGCACAGAAGCATGTTTTTGCTTTGTTCGGGACGTTAGACCTCGGCTTTTGATTTCAGGTTTCTGTAACTCTTTATGACTTTTGCAGGTCCCATTTGACAGAATCTGATATGGACTATGAGAGGCCAAACGTTGAAACTATCAAATGTGTTGTGGTTGGAGACAATGCCGTTGGAAAGACCCGCCTTATCTGCGCCAGGGCTTGTAATGCCACACTCACTCAATACCAGTTACTTGCTACACATGTGCCCACGGTCTGGGCAATCGACCAGTACAGAGTTTGTCAAGAGGTGAGCATGAAAGAGTTTAAATGAAATAGATCATCTTTGTATGTCTACTGTGATTGATGCAGTCTTTCAGCTGTTTTATGTGTGCTTAGGTATTAGAGCGCTCAAGAGATGTTGTGGATGATGTCAGCGTGTCCCTTCGACTATGGGATACTTTTGGAGACCATCACAAGGACCGGCGTTTTGCATATGGAAGGTAAATGCTAATATTAAAACATGTGCCGTTTTAATGTAAGTCAACATCATTTGACCTGTCTCCCTTTCAGGTCAGATGTCGTTGTGCTGTGCTTCTCAATCGCCAATCCCAACTCTTTGTACCACGTAAAGACCATGTGGTACCCCGAGATCAAGCACTTTTGCCCCCGTGCTCCTGTCATCTTAGTGGGTTGTCAGCTGGACTTGCGCTATGCAGATCTGGAGGCAGTGAACAGGGCACGCAGGCCCTTGGCCAGGTAATTTTGATCGTTGCATTTAGGCTTTTCGGTGTATTATGTCCTACATTTTGATGTGTCTTTTTGTTTTCAGACCAATCAAATCCAATGAGATTCTTCCTCCAGAGAGAGGCCGGGAGGTGGCCAAAGAGCTAGGAGTCCCGTATTATGAAACCAGTGTTGTTGCTCAATTTGGAGTCAAGGACGTCTTTGATAATGCTATCCGAGCTGCTCTCATCTCACGCCGCCATCTGCAATTCTGGAAATCTCACCTCAGAAATGTTCAGCGGCCCCTCCTTCAGGCTCCCTTCCTGCCACCAAAACCTCCCCCACCTATAATCACTGTGCCTCCTCCCCCATCCAACACAGAAGAGCGTCCGGTCGGTCTCCTGGAGGACCCACACTGTGCTGATGTCGTCCTGGTCTTGCAGGAGCGACAGAAAATCTTTGCACACAAGATATACTTGGCAACATCCTCCTCAAAGTTCTATGACCTCTTCATTATGGACACACAGAATGAGGAGACTGAAAAGCCCCCTCGAGGTCCTCTGTCTGGCAGAGAGCTGCTCATGCGTGCTGCTAGCTTTGACGTTTGCGAGAGCAGCGACGATGGAGATAGGGCCAACTTGAGAGCGTGCACAAGCGACGGCACCTTGAAAGACTTTGAGGGGGCTCGACGGAGCAGATTGCTTTCCTCGTGGAGTCGAGCCTTCGTCAGCATCCAGGAGGAGCTGGTGGATGACCCGGTCACATACAGCCCCAGACTTATGACCGTAGTGCACATGGACCAGTCAATCCAGCTCAGCCCTTTCCGAGCAGTGCTGCGCTACCTGTACACCGGTCAGCTAGATGAGAACGAGAAAGACCTGATGCAAGTCGCACACATCGCTGAACTACTGGAAGTCTTTGATCTACGAATGATGGTGGCAAACATTCTAAATAATGAAGCCTTCATGAACCAGGAAATCACCAAAGCCTTCCATGTACGCCGCACAAACAGAGTCAAGGAGTGCTTGGCTAAAGGGACCTTTTCTGGTGCGTCACAACCATTCCTTCTGCTTGCTTCTGGGCCCTGCAGGGTGAATCCAGCTGAAAACAAAGTCTCACTCATGATTTGCTGTTATTTCAGATGTAATATTCAAACTAGACGATGGGACGATCATGGCCCACAAGCCTTTGCTCATCTCCAGCTGTGACTGGATGGCAGCTATGTTTGGTGGGCCTTTTGTTGAAAGCTGCACCAAGGAGGTAAGTCCAGTCTATTCGAGACCAAATCAAACTCCAAGCAAGAATTAAATATTTCTGAAGCTTCTAGTGAGGTGACTTAGTTACAAAAAGCGCACACATATGTATGAACTCAATACATGCGCTGAATAGTGATGTGTCGGTCACGAATGAACCGGCTCTAAGAGCCGGCTCTTTGAAGTGAACGACGGGAGCCGGCTCGTCATTGGGAGCCGTCCCCTCCCCATTCCCCTCTTGCTTTGGTGAAAGCTACAGGTCAACATGTGTAACTGCGTGTCCAGACTGTCCACACACAGAGCAGTAGGGGCGGGGAAGAGGGAGGATCAGACCCAGACACACAGCAGAGCACATGGGGGTGGAGGGAGATGAGAGGGAATGAGGAGGAGGAAAAAGGCGAGTGAGAGCAGTGTTGCCAGATGTACGATAATTATCGTATTTGTACCATAATTTTGGGCTCTGTACGATGTACGATCAATAGTTTCAAAAATCCTCAAATGTACGATAATTTCACATTGCATCTAGTAACACCGTCTTTTGCTGTGGCTTTCCCAAGTCAATTACATAATTTTATACTGTTCTGAAGTCAGATTTCACCTCAGTGCTTACAGGTTTATGCTATTGTGTCTATTACAAAAACTGACTCTGGAACTAAGTGGGTAGGCTGCTTTGTCATTTATTGGGTCAGTTTTTCCACTGGTGTGATGTTTTGTCGTGTGGTTTTAACCTATGTAGAAATGACATAAATAGGACTGCGCAAATGTGCATATTGTGTCAATGCGTGGAGGTCGGAGTGGTGCCGACACACTCTGCACGTTTATAGGCATTATATTACTGGTTTTAAAGATGTTTATTTAAACAGGGCAATATAAAACACCTTCTTTGTTATATTATATTGGAGTGAGAAGTCGTTTATAGAACATTATTATCAAATTTATAATGTACGATAATTTGTACTGAAAAACGATAATTTAGACCTCTCTGTACGATATTGTGGGATTTTGGATCTGGCAACACTGAGTGAGAGAGAGGAGAGTGCGACGAAGACGGTGAGAAAGTGAGCGCCAGCTGTCGGAAAGTGGAGATTTCTTCAAGTGTTCAGTTATTAAATCCATAGAAATGATAAATATTTGATATATAGCATTTTTGTTACATTAGTAAATCATTTTACATATAGTTTAGCATTATTTTGGTTATAAATGTACTCTACGCAACAGAAAATCTGAGGAGCCACTTGGGAGCCGAAAGAGCCGGCTCTTTTTGGTGAGCTGAGCCAAAAGAACCGGCTCTCTAAAATCAGCCGGAATTCCCATCACTAGCGCTGAACTCAGCAGAACTCCAGTGACCAATGTGAGAATAATTAAATTAAGGGATTGCAAACCTGTTTTAGGACGAGGATAACTGGCATTGTGATCTAAACATACAGTAGATGTGTGTGCTGTTTTTTTCTACACTGGCAGGAAATAAAAGTACATAATAATGATTCTTCTAACATATTAAAGGTTTTAGATCATTCAGAGATATATTTATACGGTCATTTCAAAAGCTTGCTCTACAAAGCTATTTTTAGATGTACTGGCTGATTAACAGCTAGGCCAGTTTGGGTCTCAGTCTGTTTCTCTTTTATTCATTGCTGTTACAGCTAAATGAGATATACTTACATAATTTAGATTTTACTTATATCTTATTCTCATTCTAACCCATTTGCACACTTGCATTTCATGTTTGTTCTTTTATTCTACTCTTATTGTGTATTTCTGCTTGACTTTTATGTAGTTTTTCAGCTCTTGTCTGAAGTCTGTCTCCTAAAAAGTCCCAGTCAGCTCTGATTGGTTGGATAATTGATCTTAAATAGTAGAATCTGCTGATGTTTTGTTTGAGATGAGTTAATCTCCCTCAGGGATTACACAAACCAGTAAAAGGGCAGTTAAGATGAGCATTAAATGAAAATCCAAGAGTTTCAGGCAGTTCAGGATTCAGTTGAATGTGGACTTTGTTATTAAATGCACAAAAACAGCCCAGTACAAAGGTATCCCCACATAGCAAACGTTCTCTTAAAAACAAACCAGAGAAAACCTTTGATCCTATAGGTCAAGATTTCACCCTGCGTCCCTGTTTTGTTAGGTGCTGCTGCCCAACACGACACGCAGCTGCATGAGGGCTGTGCTGGAATATCTCTACATGGGAAGGTTTTGTTCTCGGCCTGACTTGGATTCCATGGAGCTAATTGTACTTGCTAATCGCCTTTGCCTCCCCCACCTTGTTGCTCTGACAGGTATTACATATTTTACAGAAACATTTCTTGCATGTTTTTATGTCAGCGACAACAGTTTCTAACTTTGTGTCGCTTTGCAGAGCTCTACACAGTAACAGTATTGACACAGGCAGCGATGATGGGAACAGACATTGATGGCGATGTGCTGATATACTTGGATATGGCTCAGGTAGCATGAACTGTCACTGTCTTCCCCTAAGAATTAGCATCAGAAATTTAAATTATGGTTTGGTAAATTGAATCTTTAATATTAAAACAAGTTTTTTCCAGAAAATTCAAGACAGCTTTTTATTGGACAGTATTATTGGAAATATTTTCAATGAGAATTCAACTACATTGTCTTTTCATTGATATGAAACACGAACGAGTGTTTTCCCTCTAATTGTAGAGTCAAGATCTTAAACAAAATAGTAACAATTGTTTTAACCAACAAGTCTTGCACAAAAATTCAAGCTTGTTGTTTTTTGTTGTGTTAGTTCCATGGTGCTCAACAGCTCACCGGATGGTGTCTGCACTACATCTGTACAAACTACAACAGTGTCTGCCGCAAGTTTCCTCGTGAAATGAAGGCAAAGTCACCAGGTAACTTTGATACAATCAGCTAGCTTGCTAATACTAATGCTAATCAGTGCACTTGTTAATACTAATTAAACTTTACTGTCCATGGTATGTAGATTTACTTAACGAGCTCATTCACTGAGAAACCGTTTTCAACATATTCAAAATATGTTTGAAACATGATCAGTCACTTTGAGTTGACAATGCATGCTGAATGTAAACTTTTTCTTCACCACCTATCGCCTGCATTAGCTGTAGAAATGAATTAAATGGGAAATGATCTGGTCAGAGAGCTGCGCAGTGGCGCAGTGGTTAGAGCTGTTGCCTTGCAGCAAGAAGGTCCTGGGATCTTTCTGCATGGAGTTTGCATGTTCTCCCTGTGCATGTGTGGGTTCTCTCCGGGTACTCCGGCTTCCTCCCACAGTCCAAAAACATGACTGTTAGGTTAATTGGTCTGTCTAAATTGTCCTTAGGAGTGTGTGTGTGTGTGTGTGTGTGTGTGTGTGTGTGTGTGTGTGTGTGTGTGTGTGTGTGTGTGTGTGTGTGTGTGTGTGTGCGTGCATGATTGTTTGTCCTGTGTGTCTCTATGTTGCCCTGCGATGAACTGGCTCTCTGTCCAGGGTGTACCCCGCCTGATTGCTCATTGACCGCTGGAGATAGGCAACAGCCCCCCCACCCCCACACACACACACCCCTGTGACCCTACGTGGACAAAGCGGGTTCAGACAATGGATGGATGGATGATCTAGTCAGAAAAAGCTTGTCCCTTTTACGACACAGGAAGAATCAGCATTCATGGCTTTGCTCACCTTGACTTGGCACCTTGGCAACTGAAAGGCTGTGTTGATTTTGTAGCCAAGAGAGAGCAAAGTGCACATTGTCCATTGACTGTGTGTATAATGGACGAACCCTTCGTGCTGTCACCCGAAGGTTTTTGAAGAGCTGAAATGAAGCACAGTGGGCGGTTCTCACCACCGCTATCTTGGCCGTGTCACATGCCTCATCACTCCCGATAGAAAAAAATGGAGCTGAGAGTGGGGCTGTGAGGGTGGGGGCAGATGAGTGACACTCATTGAACTCTTAAGCCGATGTAGCTGAGAGCTAACTGAGCTAGCAGAAGTTAATGGAGGTTGGCAGGCATTTTAGCCAGGAAACCACAGTTGAGTAACTCTGTCACCCTCTGCTTTCTAGACAGAGGGTAAGGCTGAGGTCTTCCCTGGAACAAGCAGGAGGGGAAGCTGCGAGTGTTAGCTCTGACGGCACATCCGCTACCAGTCAATCAAATGGACATGTCCTTAATTATTCATAATTCCCAGCTTTAATTACATCTAAACAGATGAGTTGCAAAAATATCACCCTCTTAAAGAAAATGTTTGTTTTTTTTAACCAGACTTTATTCCTTTTGTGAATTTGGCATTTTTAACAAGGGGTTCAATGGGAATTTCTGATGCCGCCCGTGGATGAGGGGAAAACTCATTTCCATGATGGTTTCACTTTTGGCAGGTGGAGTTTGCTCCTCGGTCCTGGATAGTAAAAGCTAACCGTTAGCATTTGCAACTCCGTACCATGGTGGAACTTGATATTTAAGAAGATAAAATATCAATGATGCATTCTACCCAAGAAAGAAGCTCAAGGATGCAGCAGAAGAGTACTGAGCTGTTACCCAATCAGAGTTGAGATGTTCATATATAGGGAACCTAAGTCACTTCCGCATCATGGGTCCCTGGAAGAACGAAAAAAAGAATGCAAGTCAACGGGGCTAAAAATGCTATTTTCTAATCCCGCTTGTTTTGTGCCATGGATCTCTCATATGATGTCAGTGAATTTTGAAGACGCATTTTAATACCAAAAACGCACTTATTTTCGAACAAGGGGAAATGCTTTTTTTAAGTTTTGTGTGAAAATAAGTACAGGACTACAAATGGGCTTCACCAAAGTGACGTCATCGAACCAGACACAAGAAAACTGAGGGAAAATGGCTGTAAGGTCAGCAAACTTCCCACAGGAGGAAAGAATCACCATAAATCTGGCCATGTGGTAAGTAGCAGCTGCGTTAGGCGAGAGGAGATTATGTGATGACTTGCCGATTTCTAGTTTGTAGTCATGCTAATTACGAACTCTTACAAGCTAATAAACTTCAAAGTACGTGGCTGGCGTGGTTGAAACACCCATCATTAATTTTCATTTAAATTGCAGTACAGCATATGTGCGATCCAGGGCGTAAAGCAAAGCCGATTAGAAAATAGCGTTTTTAGCCCCGTTGACTTGCTTTCATTTTTTTCGTTCTTCCGGGGACCCGTGATGCTGAAGTGACTTAGGCTCCCTATTATGAATAATGAGTAAGACTCAAAATTCTGCTGCCCTCCACTCCTCATACAATCTTCTACCCCCTGAAACAGGAGCTCAAGAGCTTCCCTTCCACAGAGAATGACTCATAAGGCAATTCGTTCATACTCGAGACCACAGAAAATGTAATTAAAAAACGAAAGTACTTTTTCAAGTTGACATACTTTTAAAAATAGATCATAGAAAGTGAAGTGGCCTTTTTAAATTTCTGAAACTATCTTTTCTGATACAGAGAACCAAGAATACTTTGAGAAACATCGTTGGCCTCCTGTTTGGTACTTGAAAGAAGATGACCACTATCAGCGTGCACGCAAAGAGCGTGACAAGGAGGACTACCTGTACCAGAGACGACAGTGTAAACGCAAATGGCTCTTCTGGAACATTCCCTCATCCCCAAACTCAAACTCTTCATCTGGCTCCTCTGCTGTCATTTGACCATGGGTACGGTCCAGTCCGGAGCACATTATTGTGTGTGTGCAAGTTGTCAAACATAGAGCAAACAATAAGCTATTGTATACTTTGAGACTATTAAAGGAGACACTCTCTTCTCAAGCCTTTACAGGCAAACGACACTCCAGGTTTCACAAGGTCAGCTCTGTATTGGACTCATGATAAAGACTTTTGTTTAGTAGGAGTTAGAGCTTAACATGTAAAAGATTTAGCTTCAGAGATATGAACATTACCATCTTATGGCACAGTATAACTGGGGCAAATCTCAGATCTTATGGATTGTCATATTTTTCCCCGTTGGAGTTTTGAATTGAAAACTGGACTTTATTGGCACAAACCTTTCCACCTGTGGTCAAAATCATCATCGGTTCACCTGAACTGATAACCAAGTGCTGCTTACCAGCTGCAACAACCAGCAATTCAACACTGGACAGAAGTCTCAGAGATATAACACTTTGCCTCTAAGTGTTTTGTAGAATCTGCCGAACTTTGTGAATAATATCCCACCTACAGGACGTAACAACAGCCTCACTGGCAATCAGTGCAAACGTCATTCAGTATCAAGTTCTATCATACTGTTGGCATAGAAAGAAAAAGCATACAAGCAATTTCTATTTATTTTATTTTTCTACATCCATTTCAGTTTCTCAAAATGTGCAAAATGCTTGTTTAAAGTGGTATGAGTCGTTACATTCTCAACATTTAAATATTGTGATCTCGTAGTCTGTGGCTTCTGGTCGCAAAAGGGCTTCATTTCACAGGAATGCATCAAATAATTATAAATCAATCAATGGTTTTTCTGTTAAATGGAAGAGAAACAAACCAGACCACTCACATATATATATATATATATACACACACACACACACACTGTGCTGCTGTTACATAGCAGCACATAATATTGCAGTTTTTGCTAAGTCAGTGAATCAAATCATTCAGACCATTCTCATTTGGGAAATCATTTCTTTTCAGAACTCTGCAAGTGTCTCTGGTAGTAATTTGGACTTTACAGATTTAATGAACAGTGATTTGGCAGTTAGCTTGGTTTCTGAATCACAAATGTGGTGGGTTTCTGCACGGAGTCTCCATAGATACTCAAAAAAGTTCTCTCCAAAAACATGCATGCTTAGGTCGACATTCACTGTATGAGTGATTGAGTCCTGTCGTCTAGTATGTAGGGTGGGTGGTGTGTGAGGTATTTTTTTAGCTCAGTGATGGAGATCTGTCAAGGATGCACTTCAATAGATAGAGGCTGATAAAGTGTGCTGGCTGTCAGGTAGGAAAGATCATGCTGGGTATGTCAGATGATCGTTTCTAGGTGAAATCCTTCCTCTTCCATGCACCTTCAGTTGTTCTGGACTTCAGACATGTGCATATTAATATGAAACACTCATTATGATAAAAAAGAGACAACATCATACCTGTTAAAGACCTTCAAAGCTGTAAAGATGGAATAACCATTCTTTATTTTTTCATCTCAGGCTGCAAATATTCACATGAATGTCATCTAACTGATTGTAGGAGAGGCTGGAGAACCATTGGACATATAGACGTGTAGAAGGAAATACAGTCAAATGTAAAAAAAAAATCAAAGATAAGTACAAACACAACAATGACATCAACATGCTGCTACAACAATAGTGTGCACTGCAGGCAGTGAGCTGAATCTTAACAGTTTTAGACTTGTCATTGAATTTCTGTTCAGCTACTTTTCTCCAACGGTATTGTGCAGACTTACAGGTACAGCTGACATATACTTTAGTATAGATAAAACAAATAAAGGTCGACTAATTGTTAAATAGGGTATCCCATGCTAAGTAAAGTAAATATGCTATTATTAAACAACTTAATAAAGGTGTATGAAATAATCATACATTATGTTATTGTTACTAAAACTCAGATTTCTAATAAGAGCATTAGTGTCATATCTTTAAAAAATACTTTAATATTTTTTACACCATTTTTAATAGAACAATATTTAAAGGGATGTTAAAAGGGAAAAATATATAAACACACAGTGAAAGAGCCAGTTTATTACAAATATAAAATGACTGTACAGGGAGCATCTAAATAGATAAATAGATCACTGATCTCTTAAGTAAAAGTAAAATATAAGGCGGTGCTGATGATTTAAACAGTCACTTTAAATTATTCTATCACATTAAATCACTTATGCTAATTTCATACATTATTATTGAGCTTTTTGGCACAGAACTTCAGTCTTTAGAAGACACAAATCAGCTTTCATGAGCACTGCAGTGCCAGTTTTGTAATAATTCAGAATATTGACATAGTTTCAGTAAAACTAACTCAAACACACTCAGAACGATCTACTTTCATATCATTTGCCTTTACATAGTCCGATAAAGTTCATAGATGTACAATGCATTCCTCAGTGATTCTTCTGTTGATGTTTTGCATCAACATCACCTCATGCCTTAATGTACAGCGTACTGCAGTTTATGGTATTGAATGTGAAGTTGCGTTAATGTGGTCTCTAGCTTGTTTGCTATATCTAAAGGTGCCATGGTGCTCTGTAGGCTTTGTGTGTATCAATAAATGTGCACAATCCATCATTTGGATGTAAAGGAATCAGCTGGTGTTGGTCAACTGAGTGTGTTTTTGTTTGAAAACCGTTTAGAGTTTATACCATTTAAAGTTAGAAACACACAAAAAAAAGTTATCTAAACTTGGCCCGACACGGCTAGGCAAAAACGTTGACAGGTCATCAAATGAATTGATTGCAGGGATTTCTGATCAATTTCACTGTTTTAAAGTTTCCTTAATGAGCTCCAGCTTTTGATCCTAGTCAGAAAAATGCTTGCACAATGCATCTACTAATAAAAGAATAAGTCAAATATGTATTTACTGTATAATGACTTCTGAGGTTCAAACTCAACATAGTAACTGATATAAGCTATTGCATAGTTCACCACCTTTTTTCTTTTACTATGCATAATGAAATGCCAACTTGCACTGCTTTGTATCACTGGTTCTCCTAAAATTGCACCAAATGCTTTTGCAAGTTCGTTAGGAATTAAAACCATCAGGTGGGAGAAAAATCTGATCATAAATTATAAAAAGGTTTTCACTGGGACCCTTTTCACGTGTCTGGGTGCTATTATCACAGCTGCAGAGAAGCACAAACCAAAGGGAGCTTTAGCAGCACCAGGACTAAAAGGTATATGCTGCACAGTCACTACTGAAGAGTTTATGAGGCCTTGTTAAAAAAATTAAAATTTAAAAAAGACAAGAGAAAAAATAACTTGAATGTTTTCTTAGTGTTTGGAGCCTGGTGGACATTTTTGTGACCTCCGGGTGATTTAGTTGTTTTAAAGAAGCTGTTTTTATGGTTTAGGAGCTGTACGTTTAAAATTCTGTAGCATGTGTTATTGAAAATGTGTAAATAATGTTTAAATAAATGAATAAACACGTACATAATGAGTGCTGCGTCTGTCTTATTTACCCCGTTTTAGTTATGACACTTGATACTGTAGGGTGCGCAGTAGAGGTGCGCAGAATTAGCAGCAGCGAGAGCGCTTCACCCAGAGAAGGAAAGACAACAGGAGCATTTCAAACATGGTAACGATACATGAACAACACCGCTACCTTTATACTAGGTTAGAAAAAAATAATAGTGTGTGTGCAGCTTTATTTATGCTCTACTAGCTGTCTTGACTTCATTTAAAGTGTCGCGTCAACGTGTAAATAGTGACACGAACAAACAAGGGAACGCAGTCTTAAGCAGCAGGGGGTTAAAGACACGTTTTTAAATAAACAAGATGTAGTATTATGAAAAGTACCTGCGCCAAATTACCACTTGTTAACGTAATCATATTCAGCGCGTGACCGACTATTTGATGCAGATCAACGCGCGCGCGACACAAGTTTTATTACTGATGACACCTTAACTAAACAGCCCCCACCAGCCAGGACCCGGATGTAGGCTTTATTAGCGTTATTGCTTTGTTTTAAAGGACTCACTTGGGAGTGGTGGTTGTTAAATAACCTCTTAGATTCAATTAGACAAACAGTTAAATATAAACTGGATTCATATAGAGATAAATGAAGAATTGAGGGCTGTGTGGAAATAATCATTTCATATCTTGTCTGCTTCAGGTAACTATTTGTATGGCCTCCGTTTGGAGAAATGTATATTGTTTCTGACGGCACAGACGAGCCACAATTACACAAAGTGAAATCTAAAAGAAAATACTGCAGTTTTTTATGATATGTAATTAAAGGTGTGGTTCACTTGTTTAATAAATACAATTGCAGTGCGGTCTCTAGTTTGGACCGCTGGCTGTAATGCACATATCACACAAACTTGCAATATAAAATATAAAGCAGGACAACACCTGACCCCTCCAGCTCGGCTGTGTGACTGCACTAACCTGTCCTGTGGGACCCTCACCATGTGACCCTCATGTCCATGCTGTCTCTGGAGGAGCAGATATGAAACAAGATCGCCTGTAACTTAAAATGAACCAAAGCTTCCTCCCAGTTTCTCTTTAAGCTGAATTTAACATCAGTTTATCATCATGAAACAAAAGACAAATGTGGAACAAGAACGTCTATCTTCTATTTCTCTCTCCTTTTAACTTATCCGTGTCCCTAAATTAAAGAGACTTAAAGAGACTGATTTCGCTGCAGCCGCCGTCACTGACCCTGCTCCCTCCCCAAGACCAAATCCCCCGACATCACAGCACTCGGTCTGACTGAGCGCTTCGAGGAGAAATGATAATGAAATTGTGAAAATAATAATGCGTGTTTGGAGGAGCGCCCTCCGATCCTCTCTCTCTCTCTCTCTCTCTCTCTCTCTCTCTCTCTCCCTCCCTCTCTCTCTCTCTCTCTCTCAGTCGCTGATCGAGCGAGCGGAGCGCGGGCACGACAACCCGCTAAATTAACATAATTCACGGCCCAAATCCAACAGAATCGATCGGGCTGATTGGGTTCGGGTTCGGTCTCAGGTTAAAACTCCAGCGCTCAGCCCTGGAGTACCACATAAAGGCGGACCAAAGTTTCCTACCTGGTAAATGTGGAGAACACCCACTCTGACAGATGTGGATGCTACGCTGGTGCCGCCGTTAAAACCACATCCTACTATAATTGATTACTCTTCTGTTATGCAGAAACGTTTCTGCCCACATCTTATGCATTGATTATTTTCCCCAGCTCTATCCTACACCTCCCGGTCAGGGTTGGGGGTGCGCGCAGGGTTTGGGGGCAACAAAGAGAGGGCTCGTGGGCTGGTCGTGGCCCACGGGCTGCCATTTGCAGACCACTGTCCTAGAGTTTCCCTGTCAGTGGCAGCTGGTGAATTTTGTTTTTGGCAGGATGCATTTTAACAGATGACATATGTGCCGTTAAGAGCATGTCTGCTGAGAGATTTGCGTGCCCAATTGCGGGAAGTTGTGTAAGAGTCATGAGCCAACTTTTTAATATTGGCAGCTAACATGCCATGACGATAGGCAGAGCAGAATGCTAACAGCTGCTGCCCAGCAAAGGCAAGGACACTGGTCACTTTTTTACCGAACAGCACCGCGGTTCCATCCCTTGAAGTAGAACTACGGTACAAAAATATCACCATCAGAAAATTAAACAAGAGACTAACAACAACCGACACATCCGTAGTAATAGAACCCAAACAAAACACCCGAAAATACACCATAATAGAACAAAACACCTGAAAACCGGCTACCCACAATGCACCTCACCAATGCAATGTAACAATGCAACTGCAGTGCCTTGCTCCAAAATCTGCGGCCGCCTTGATCTCACGAGGTTATCGTTGCCTACGTATGCATGACATCAGAGCGAGTCGGCATCAAGTCGGATACAAATCTAACCGGCATGCACTGAACGCCGATCACTGTTGATCTAATCTGCGCAGAACTGGCTCGTTTCAAACACGGCCTTTGTTAGCGGCTCCGCCCTCTCGGTCTGCTGGGCTACAGCCTTTGTTGCATTTTTCTAACAGGAAGTGGGAGTTGAGTAAGAATCTGGTAGGGGGTGACTTGCTCTTTTAATACAGATTATACACAGCACTTAGTCTGTTGTATAGATCATTTAGATTAATTTTTGTGTTGTTTTTTAATATTTTGTGATTCCTATCTTCTTCTTCCTGTGAGACTGGTAGGGCGGCGCCCTAGTGCCCCCTATGGATGAGCCGCCACTGCTCATCACCTATTTTCTATCAGAAGCTAAAACAGGAGATAGGTGTAGGATACAATTTTCACGTTGAGCCTGCATGAAAAACTCTGAGTGACTAATTATAATCAAAAAATAATAATACAAAATGTTTTTTGTGAACCACACCTTTAAAGCTAAACAGAAATCGTCTGGAATTCCTTCAACTCATTTCTACTGCAAATACCAATGTAATTCTATGTTATTCTATGAAATTGACATTATAATTAACTAAGTTGGTAGAAAAAATTGTAAGAGTGCATTCACTGGACTCAGTTTGCCTTGGAGGGAATTTCAAAAGTTTTCAAAACAGTATTTGGTTAGGTTCACATTCAAAGTGCTTTTAAAGCAACACTAAATGGTTTTTAACACTTGAAGCTGTTGCGTTCAAACTGGTTTTAGTGATTTTTGAGAAATTAATTTCGACAGCACTCTGCAGCTCTCTGCCAACTAGAAACTGTATGTATAAGTTTTGTGTTACTGGTAGGTTAACTAGTGGGTGGTCTCTGCTTCAGGGCAGTAGGTGTTTACTGTGCTGGAGCAGGGAAATAACTAAAACATGCTGGATAGGGGACCAGGGTAGGATACATTTTATCTAGTTTAACCATCTTTTCATCAACAAAATCAAACAATAATAGAAACAATCAACAGTGATAAATAATCCTCTGATCCGATATCATTAAGCACCTGTACCTCCCCCAGTACATGCCTGAGCTTTTTTAATATTACTTCTAATAATAATAATCTTTTGAGTTTGCTTTCTTTTATCCTAAAGTGCACAACATTCTACATTACTACTTCTTTGTTTCTCTTATCAGTGAGCTGAGACATGTTTTCAGAATATCCAGAATTTGCTTTCTTGATCTGCACCAAAGTTTAGATGAGCTTTCTAGGGCTGCAGCTATCGAATATTTTTGTAATCGAGTACTCTATCGAATCTTTTTTTCGATTAATCGAGTACTCTAATAAATTACCCTTTTGTGTTTGTAAACCATTATATCATATATTGATGAGCCAAGATGGCGCCGAGTATGGCTGCCTCGTCGCGAGCTCCACCAAGTTCCAACATTACACACTCCATACTGTACATTAATGCCACTGTTTTGCACATACCAACCTCTGTACATTTTATATCTCTTATCTTATTGTTTACTTTATTCATTTGTATACTTAGATCAGCCATTTTTATATTTTACTTGTTTTTACATTACTGTATTTTTGCACAACTCTGTTGCTGTGAAGCTCGCACACAAGAATTTCACTCGCATGTACTGTACCAGTGTACCTGCACATGTGACGTGACAATAAAAGTGATTTGATATCAAATAGCATGTTATAATTATGAAAGACCTCTTAAAATGAGCAAGCAATTGCCAGTTATTCTTCAAGTTTTATTCAAAATTAGTTTGCATAACTTCAGCACTTCAACTTTACTTCACAGTAAACAAATGCGTGTGCAAAAAATAAGTAAACAACCTGAGCCGATTTTCCCCTCGTGCGAGAATCTGCTAGCCTGCAAGCCAGACAAAAACTAGGAGGATAACGCTGCGAGCGGCTGCGGCCCAAACAGAACCAGAACCGCTCACGGCGCAAACAGCTCGCCGACTGTTTCCCTATTAACACACGTCCGTTTTAATTTCTACACTTTTTTTTCTCACACTAACAAGGATTGCCAAAAGCATGTTTGCTGTGGTTTTGTCAAATTATACTGATCACAAAACATGTATTTACTTTCTTTCGTTTTCCTCCGCCACTCATAAATACCCGTGTCCTCCTACAGAAACCCCGAGGGACAACAGACATCAATAACACAATAGAAAGTCCGACATTTGTGTAAAAACTGCTATTTTTTAGCACATTTTAAGTCCGACGTGTTGTTACCAGATGTACGGTGTGAGCTGAAACTAAGTGCTACAAACGGAAAAGTCGCACAGTGTCCGCAGAATATATAGAAATACAGGCTAAAATGCATTATCTTGTAGAGGCTCCGAGTCCGCTTGCAGAAGTGACATTTACAGGTGCTGCAGCACGGAGGATGTGGTGTTGTGGTAGGCTAAATCCATTTTACAGTATTTATACTGGACTACGTTTTCCGCCTTACGACGTGAAAAATGGTCCCACACCATTGACATTTTCTGTCTTTTTCGCACTCCACCGGGGTCCACGTTGTTAAGAGAAAGTTAAGTTATATTCGCTACTCGCGTGTGCATTCAGTCCAGTGGGCATGTGCGTCACTTATTTCGGTCCGGGTGAAACATGACCCCAGGCGATTGCAAAGCCATGAATTAATTAAATATGAATTAAACGAATCCTCGAGGCAGAGAATTTGACTCGAGGATTTTTTGTACTCGAATTATTCGAGGTACTCGAGGAATCGTTTCAGCTCTAGAGCTTTCACACCTGACCAAATAACACCGCAAGGCTCTGATGTTAGAGCTCCAGTCAGACTCACCCAGTGGCCCTGCTGTCCAGAGAACTAATCCCTATTTCTCTAAACTCAGGTTGTTCTAAGAGCTCCCTACAACAGGTGATAATGACACTTTAATGCACACACACACACACACACACACATATATATATATATATATATATATATATATATATATATATATATATATATATATACATATATATTTACTTAGATTTGTCTTCTGCAGGTTGTTCCTGTACCTCTTTTGGTTTTATCTGCCTTCCTTTTGGAGCCTTACAGGGTGGAAACGACACAAAACACCCTAAACTCGATGGATGCTTCTTTCTGCCAGTAAGTAGCTCAAAAGGTCTCATAGATGTGATTCCAGAGTCATTTCAGTGATGCATTTTTACTAAAATGCTCTATAAATGTTGCTCATAAGTTAAACATTTTTATTTCCGTATGTATCTTTGTTTTCTTTGCCTCAATATAGGAATGATTTACAAAAATACTCTCTTGTTATGGTTTTACTTAAGTGGAGGACTGGAGGTAGTCTATCCAGAGCTGGACGTTGACAAATGCCTCAAAGTTCCAACAAAGCTCAGAGAGAAAATCACCATGACTTGGCAAGTGCCACGGGTGTACTTCACTGGAGCTCAGAAGGTGAGAGCACGATGTGTGTGTGTGTGTGTGTGTGTGTGTGTGTGTGTGTGTGTGTGTGTGTGTGTGTGTGTGTGTGTGTGTGTGTGTGTGTGTGTGTGTGTGTGTGTGTGTGTGTGTGTGTGTGTGTGCAGTAGCGGTTTTAGGCACGGGCAGACAGGGCAGTTGCCCGGGGCGCCATTTTTTCATGACACAAAAGGGGCGCACAAGCGCTGAGTAAAAAAAAAAAAAAAGGAAATCTGCGCCGCACCGAGGTTTTCTATTATCTGTCATATGACAGTGTCTGGATTGGAAACAGCAAGTTGGCTATGGCGTTTAAAGCGTGCCACAACCCGTGCACGCGCATTGGGTCCACAGCGCGCGTGTGAACGGGACTCGCGAGCGCAAATATACATGGCAGCGCGCGTGTGAACGGGACTCGCGAGCGGAAATATACATGGCGAGAGGTCATTTGTGCACTGAGAGGGAGCAAACTGTGTCTGTGAGCGCACAAGGATGTGCACAAGTGACAAACATTATTGATGACGTTGCATCAAGGTTAGGTTTTAATTTTAGTTTGTGTTTTCTGTTCTAAGTGCAATGCTGTAGTGATTATCTTTAGTTTGTTACGTGTGAAATATTTTTGCTATTTAGAATATTTATTATCTATTATGTTCATATATTCTTAATATTTAGTTATTGTTTGTTTTTGTATATTTGATTCTATATATTTTGATACAGTATATAATGTATAGTGCTTTACATTCTGACAACTTCATAGTAATTAATGTAAATATGTGCAACTTAGAAAAATGAATGTTCAATAGTCGTTCTAATAAAACATGCCTGTTTGTAGAAAACATGCGTGTGTTCATGCAGGTGGGGTGGTGTGGTGGTGGTGGTGGTGGGGGGGGGGGGCGGTTGGGGGGGGGGCGCTCAAAGGGGGCCTCGCCCGGGGAGTAATTCGATGTAGAACCGCCACTGTGTGTGTGTTTTGTGTGTGTGTGTGTGTGTGTGTGTGTGTGTGTGTGTGTGTGTGTGTGTGTGCGTCAGAAAAGAAGGCCTTTACCAGTTTTAGCAGCCAGATGACAGAGGCTTTGGATGACAAAAATGTAGAACAATTTACTGTGAAATCAAGACTTTTAGAAAATAAGATAACTTCTAAATTCTGCAAGAAATTTAAAATTAAAGTGTGAACTTTTCTCCCTTAAGAAACAGCCAGTCAGAGGGTAAATTTTAATGCTAGTGGTAATTATTTCAGTTATTTACCAACACTTCACAATTAGTAACAGCAAGTCATTAGGGACAATTTCAGACTAATTGAGTTAAATTCCCAACAGTGAACACTAGAGGGTAGTAATGTAATTCACAGGAAAAGCCACGTGTTCACAATAGGAACCAATTTTCATTCTAATTTTTTAATTATAACCACATAATAACATATAAGTAAATATTTAAACTGAAAGATCTCTCCACGTTTTGACCACCTCATTTACACGTCACCTTTTATGCCTGTTGTTCTCTTTTTTGTTGACTGAACTAACTCCTGCCACCACAAGGTGGTGCTAGCACTTTTTCTCTTGCCAAACCTTAAATCAGCTGTTGAGTTACACATATGCACTTATAGTTTTTTTAGAGTCAGGAAGGTCATTTTACATAAAATATACAGTTAGTTTTAGTCAAAAATAAGTCTCAAACAAAAAAAATAATTTATTAAAGTGTCGGCTGCCTGCTAATATGAAGGTGCAGCAGATTAAAGAAGTCCCTTACACATATCATTTAAGGGTTAAGGAAGTATATGAATAAGTAGACTTTTACACAACAGCAGGATATATCAGTGTTTAATATTAATTATTATTCATATTGTTATTTTGAGCTTAGAGCAGCATCTTGAAATTATTTTCTAGCATTTTCAGAGGATGGTACATATAGTGAGCAAGATATTCATTCAGAATTTCTCTGCTGTGAATAATCTTAGTTATAGTGTTGGAGCAGTAGAAAGGACACCCCAGTGCTCTAAAAACACACAGAAAATCAAACATTTGTAAATCAAACACTTGAATTGAAAGCCAATGCGATTTAAGGGCTGGTCTATGAATTCCAGAGCTAAGCAGTCCAGCTTGAGCATGATCTATTGCCCTTCTCTTGTCCAAACGCCGTTTGATCTATGGCGGTATTATCTATAATGCTGTCGTACAGGATTCTTTTTCATTGCTGGAATGGGTGTCAGACAGCAAAACAGATTACATGTTAGATTAAATCAATACAAACTTTATTTACTGGTTTTTGAAATGTGATGCTCCATTTTTCCTGACACTTATGTAAAAGACACTATAGCGAAGGCTCAGGCTGTTGCCTGCCTGTGGTTCTGTGGTCATTATGCCAGTTTCTGCCACCCTGCCACTCTGCTGGCGCTTCTCTCTGCCACTCCGCCCTTGTAGCCAGTAGCAGGAGTACAGAATAGAGTGGCCGTTTAAATCCACCCACTGTAACACCCACTTCATTAGCTGGGACGGGATGCGTGCCTGCTGAGTAATTGTAATGAAACACAGTGGGCAGCCGTCCCATCAACCTGCCTCTTAATGTGTACACATGACCACAAACAAAAGCAAAAGGCCACGAAAACTGCAGATTTCTGTGTGCAACTGTCAGAGCAACAGAACTTGTGTGCTACAGAAACCTGCTGTGTGTGTTAGCGGAGCGTTTTCAGATGCTTCTAAATCATTTACAATGTGATGTTGGTGGGTGTTGTGTTGATGGTAAGGCAGGAGAATGTGCCTTGGTACCATCTTTACAAATAAACAAAGTTCTGGACTTTTTTATACTTTTATGATTTTTACTTTTTTATGATGGAGAAAATGTAAACACGCTGGATCAAGCTTTCTTATATAAAACTTTAGACAATGCATGTAAATTTATGTAAGAATTGGAGTTGTTAGGAGAATCCTGCAGAACCTGCAATATTTTAGAATCAAGACTTGCAGCATTTTAATCAACTTTACACAGTATATTGTGAACTATGAACACAGTTACCTGCCCATTCACCTTAGAAGACTTTATACAGGTGCTGGTCATAACATTAGAATATCATGACAAAGTTAATCCACTCAAAAAGTGCAACATGTATATTAGATGCATTCATTACACATGGATTGATATATTTCAAATATTTATGTCTTAAATGTTGATTATTATAACTGATTAACTAATAAAAATCCTAAATTCAGTATCTCAGAATATTAGAATATTGTGAAAAGTTCTATATTGAAAACCCCTGGTGGCACACTCTAATCAGCTAATTAAGTCAAAACACCCGCAAAAGCCTTTGAATGGTCTCTCAGTGTAGTTTATGTTTATGTATTTAGCAGACGCTTTTGTCGTAGTCCAGTGTCCCCTCTTAGTCTTAGCCCAGAGTCCCCTCAGTGTCTTAGTCCAGTGTCCCCTCAGTGTCTTAGTCCAGAGTCCCCTCTTAGTCCTCATCCTCCAGTGTCCTCTATCCCCCGACTTCCACAGTCCCGGCTCCTGGTTCCCCGTTGCTGGCCCCCCAGACTCCCACAGTCCCGGCTCCTGGTTCCCCGTCGCCGGCCCCCCAGACCTCTACAGTCCCGGTCCCTGGTTCCCCGCCGCCGGTCCCCCAGATTCTTCTGGCCCTCCTTCATGGTCCCCCTCCTCCCACCCTGCTCTGGCCCTCCCTCCTGGTCCTCCTCCCCCCGCCCTGCTCTGGTTTCCTGTGGGCGTCTTGAATCCGCCCTTGGGGTGGGGGGTGGGGGGTTCTGTCATGACTCCCATCCTTCACCCTCCTCTGTCTCCTCATTTAACCTTCATTCTGGTCCCTTCACCAAGCTCCTGACAAGCCCTGTTTCCCCTGGCAACCACAATCTACTCCATTCTTCTCACCTGTTCCTGTCATCAGCTTCATCCACTTCACCTGCTCCTGACTCCTCAGCTCATCTCACACACCTGCTTCCCCTACTATTTAAGAACCATCCAGCTATCCAGTCTCTGCCAGATTATTGAAAGCCTTGCAAGTAAATCTTCCAGCCATCCACCCTGCCTGACCTCAGCCTCCGGACCTAGTTTTTCGCTCCTGACCCCTGCCTTGTATTCTGCCTGCCATTTCGACCTTCGCCTGTCTCCAGCCTCTCCCACCTTGGGTAACTTCACCAAGATTAAAAGATTTTTTTATCCATTTTTACTGTTTTTAGCGTCTTCACGGGTCTTCTGAGTTCTGTTCATGACAGTCTGGCCCCAAAACAATTTCTAATCGCAATCTGGCGCCCTTGAGCCTGCATGGCTCCAACGAAAACTCCCCCCTCAGAAGATATGTGGAATGTGCCGTCGCTATGGCAACTCAACTCTGCCTCCTTTCCCAGCCTGGGCAGGACTGTGGGAAGGCCGCTGAAACGTTCCAGGGTCACTGCAACACTCCAACACTCAATGCTCCTCCCCCTATCCACACTGAGTTGACATGCGCTGCTTATCGTGGCTGCAGGAACTGAAGTGGGGATAGTCCCAACCCACCACCCCACCTAGTGGACACTTATGTTGTGTGATGTCTGAAGTCTGTTGCATAACTGTCTGAGGTGTTTTTTTTTTTTTGCAGAGCAAAGCTGCCCTCCCAGTGGAGGGTAACTCTGAAGAGCCATTTTTGTCCCTCCACCTGAACCAGTCCTCATGTAACCCTCTTATCACTATTTAGGTAGCACGACTCAGGGTTGCGAATGACCACAGTCACCAATTCTTGTCATGTGTCTTGCCCATGTATGTCTGATCTCTGAATTGTGTGTACTGAAACTCTCATTTCCCTCTGGGATTAAAAAAGTATCTTTGATTTGATTTGATCCAGGCCAAAGGAGTCCCAACTAAATACTGAGTGCTGTTCATGCGCATACTTTTCATCTTCATAATTTTCAGTTGGCCAACTTCTCTGGCATTTTTTTTTTTTTTTGCATTGGTCTTAATTGATATTCTAATAATCTGAGAGACTGAATTTGGGATTTTCATTAGTTGTCAGTTATAATCAT